GTCGTATTCGCAGGAGTCAACGATGAGTACGAAGAGGTTTTTGGGTGTAGGATGACGAGAGGTGGTTTTCGCTATAAGGAACCTAATGTGTGTTGTGATGAAGCTCGCAGCTGTTGGCTCTTGCTGGGACCATCGAACGATTAGAATCAAGACGTTAGTTCTCGCGGCAGTAGGTGAGAGGTAAAACTTTTGAGTGCTTCTTCAACTATTAAGCACAAACGAGTGCATGGCGCACATCAGAGCAGAAGAGTCTACTGCGAAAGTATCCATATTTGACTGCTCACGTACACAAATATAATTCTAGAGGTGAACCAATGCCTTCAAACTGGACCTAAGTTAGTAAAAGAGTGACCTCTTTGGTAGATTGACTGCTAAAGGGCTACAAGAAAAGTTTGGGAACAAAAATATTTGCCTGTCGGCAACTTCTTGAAATGGGTTTAGCATCTGTAATGAAGCACAGAGCTCGTGCGATGTCACGGTATCATAATTCCCGATAAAATTGAGTTTGAAGAGTTGTCAGTGTTTAAGTGTTGAAAACCCGTGTTTTCAGGAGAGTAGCGCCGAAAATTCATAAAAAAACGGTCCAACGGGGCGATTTTTTGACTCCTTCAACTTTGGAAAGAGAAAAAGTATTCGTTGGAAAGCTCTAACCTTCTACTCAATCCAGGGGACAAGAACTGCAAAAAGTTCAATCTGAAGAAAGTTATAACAATTTAAAGCCAAAAAACCAGCGCTCTGCAAAAAATCGGTCCGCGATTTCCCAAAACGGTCCAACGGGGCGATTTTTTGACTTCAACTTTGAAAGGAGTTCAAGTATTGTTAGAAAGCTCTAACCTTCTTCTTCAACCCAGGGGGACAAGAATCGCAGAAGGTGGAATTTGAAGAAAGTTATAGCCATTGAAAGCCAAAAAACCTGGTCTTGCAAAAAAACGGTCCAACGGGGCAATTTTTTGAAGGAAAGAGTTTTTGCGAAAACTCGAGCACTCATAATGCCTTCTTTGAAGGAGGTTCACAACGAAAAGTGAAGAAGTGCGCATTTCTGTGAATTCTTTGTTCTCTACCCCATAACTGACGTAGTTTTGAAGATAAGGCATAATCGTGGTTACCTTCTGAAACAAGCAGTTTTGTAGATTACAAATCTACTTAGCGTTTTAAGAAATATTGATATTGAACAAAATTACGCTTATTTGAAAGTCAATAGTCTGTTTCTCGCTGCCCGCGCTGCGCCGAGGGGAAGATTGCGCGCGCCAATGCGAACGCAACGCTCCCGTGCTCCAATCGGACACTTCTGCTGTATACTCTCATGCTCTGAGATGCGCCATGCACTCGTTTGATATGCGCTTGCATATCGAAATGGAAATTTTTTGTGATTCTGAACGCCCATTCATGAAAGGCAGGCAAAGCGCCATTCGAACTAAAGGGCAGTACTGTTTAGCAACTAATGAAGGCAGTTCGTTTTGCGATGTTATGCATTAGTAAATTACCGGATATCAGGAAACTAGAGTTCGTCTGCTAACTGTGTTTGAATTCAAGCCAAGTGTCCTTAGATTTTTTGTAGATTGCACTTACTTCCCCTAGTGTTAGCTTTTCCTTAGCAGTGTACAGTACATAGGT